TCAAACTCAGATTTCAATGACTGTCAGAAGTATCTCCTACTAATCATTTTGGGACCCATTTCAGGTCTGTCTTCTCTGTCCTTGAGGCTGTCTGTATTAGGTGCTCCTGGTGCTTTCACCGTTTTGTGATTAGCTCTGTCTTAGCACTGTTTTGTATTTGATTCTTCATACACTGACTTGTTTCCTAGGTAACTTTATGCAGTCTTTTTTCCTGTTTGTGTCCTAAGGCCCTAGCATGGTGCCTCTCTGTAATCACATTAGGATCAAATATATCAGCAATAATGAGGGAAAGGCCATATTGCCAGTTATGGGGTGTGGCTCCTTTTGCATAGATCCTAAGAGTTATCAGGATCTAGCAGGGCTTTCCTGAGAGCTCAGTTGGTAAAGAATCCACCTGCAATGCAGGAGACTCCAGTTTGATTCCTGGGTTGGGAAGACCTGCTGGAGAAGGGGTAGGCTGCCCATTCCAGTATTCTTGGGCTTCCCTTGTGGCTCAACTGGTAAAGAATCGCCTGCAGTACGGGAGACCTGGGTTCAATCACTAGGTTGGGAAGATCCCCTGGAGAAGGGAAAGGCTACCCACTCCAGTATTCTAGCCTGGAGAATTCCATGGACTGTATAGTCCATGGGGTCACAAAGAGTTGGACATGACTGAGTGACTTTCACTTAGAATTATGGTAAAACTATGAGGGAGCAGTCGTGGTTAAGTAGAGAACTATGAAAGGAATTTGGAGTCAGAGGACCAGGTTGCAATCTGGTGTGCCATCTCTAATCCCCACAAGAATCTTGTGAGGCAAGTGGCATCATGAGCAAACAGAGGGTCAGAGAAGCAATTCATCCCAAGCGCCTGTGCATGTGTGCTAAGTTGCTTCAGTTGGTCTGACTCTTTGTGACCCTACGGATGGTAGCCCACCAGGCTCCTCTGTCCATGGGATTCTCCAGGCAGGAATACTGGAGTGGGTTGCCATGCCTTCCTCCAGGGGATCTTCCTGACCCAGGTTTGAACCCATGTCTCTTACATCTCCCGCATTGGCAGGAGGGCGGGTTCTTTACCACCAGCGCCACCTGGGAAGCCCCCAAGTGTCTAGTGAAAGTGAAAGTCGCTCAGTCGTGCCGTGGACTATACAGTCCATGGAACTCTCCAGGCCAGAATACTGGAGTGGGTAGCCTTTCCCTTCTCCAGGGGTCTTCCCAACCCAGGGGTCGAACCCAGGTCTCCTGCATTGTGGGCAGAGTCTTCACCAGCTGAGCCACAAGGGAAGCCCAGGAATACTGGAGTGGGCAGCCTTTCCCTTCTCCAGGGATCTTTCCAACCCAGGAATCGAACCAGGGTCTCCTGCATTGTAGGTGGATTCTTTACCAACTGAGCTATCAGGGAAGCCCAAGTGTCTTTAGTTAAGTGGCAAAACTGACTAAAAAGCTTATGCTTGTCAGACTTAATTCTACTTACTTATCTACAAAATGAAGATAAATCTGTATTTGCCTTTATACCTCATAGAATCGTCAAAAGAGATAAATCTGTGTCCAGGAGCTGTAAGTAGAAGGGTGAAAAACTTGTTGCTATTAGCTGTCTGTGCTAAAATTTGTGTTAATGTTTATGCGATTTTTGCCTAAATCTTTTGCTTTATTTGAACTGTCGTGTTCAATTAATAACTATTAAAAAGGAAAGTAAGAAGAGTTAATTACTACTCTTTTGGTTTCCCCAAATAAAACTGTTTCTTTTACTGTTTCTTTTAGAAGTGAAATACTGGGACAAAGGGTATGCACATTTAAAATTTTGATAAAGTGTTGTTGGATTGTCTTGGAAAGGTTATACCAATTTTTACTTTTATTAGCAGTATAGTGTGTGGAATCTGTTTCCCCACACCTTTGACATACCTGGGCATTATGAATCTTTTAACACTTAGGAGAAAAATAATCAAGTTCTAATTTATCTATTATTTGTCAGGTTGAGCATCTTTTATTGTTTGGTTATTTGCATTTCTTTTATAATTTGTCTACTGGTAACTTTTATCCATTTTTTTCTACTGGATTATCTTTTATTTATCTGTAGGAGCCCTCTTATATAAAATGTGTGGTAGATATTTTCATGCTAGTTATTTTTTAACTTTGTTTATGATACCTTTTTATGTAGTCAAATTTTTCTTTCTTAATGGGTAGTTTCTAGTCTTGATGTTCTGCTTGGAAGGACTTCCCTTTGCTAAGATTATAAAAATAAATTTAAAAACGTGTTCCTTTTTCTACTCATATACTGAGCAAGAATTATTCTGTGCAGGTAAGAGTGATGTTTAGATCAATTATTTGGGAATTTGATTAGCCACTAGTCCTGTTCTTTTATTTCTTGAAATCTTTAAAGACCTGGAATACCAGGTAGGGACTGTTAATAAAGAGTAAGGTAAAGTCATGGTATAAATTAAGGTCAAGTTGGTGACCTTTTTCTCTTAGATGTTTGTACACCAGATGGCTGCTCACGTTGGAGGTAACTCTTAAAAAAGTGTGAGTAGAATGATTTTCATTCCAATGAAAATTCCTTTTCAAAAGTGTAGATTTTTAGTAGATATTGAGTTAAGATCAGGATGCTGTAATTTAATTGTTGTGCTGCCGTCAGAGTGTAAGGGCATGGGGAGTGGGAAAATAGGGTAGAATAAAGGGAAAGGAAAGGGGTTGTGAATAGGAAGGATTACTCAGGAAGAAAAGGTTCCAGAAATGCTTAGGATTGGCAGTATGGTACAGACACAAAAGTCAGAGAGCTCAGCATTACCAGTAGTTCCATTTCCTGAATTATGTTTTGTTTTATTTCTCTTTGTGGTTTTAAGTATTTGTGGTTCCATCACAGATGGAAAACCACCACTGACTTTAAGCTGATTATTAATGTTCAGTTTTGAACTGTGGTGCATGTGTGGTGTGTGTGTGTATTTGAAAAATCACACTATTTGAAGACTCATTTGGTAATTTTAAAAGTGAAACTCCAATGTGAAACTCTCATTTCCTCCAGAGGCAATAAAGTAAGTAGTTGTCAGCCTCAAATTCAATTCTTTGCAAATTATACGGAAGACTGTGGCTTTCTGGCTTTTTTTATTATCTATTTTTTCTTTGCAACTGACACAAATGTCTTCAGTTTCATAGCTAAGGTACCATTTTGCAAACAATATATCTTAGATTTTATTAGGATGGATTTGTGACTTTTTTATATTAGGAAATTTACAGAGAGGGTATAAAACCAGGGAAGTCTGTAACCTTTCAAAAAAATGTAACATGTCTGTGTACCTCGTTTACCTGTTTTCCTTATTGGCTTAACCACAAAGCTATGTTTCTGTGTTTGCAGAACACACTTCTTTGGGATTTTTGACATTTTAAGTGTATGACAATTACCTCCAGGGTCGAGGAAAAACATTGTTAACTTTCTTACACTTGACAAAGTACTTTTAACAGGTATTTTCCTCACTACAGTAAAGAGAGAGAGCTTGGAACAGGCAAAAAAGATTGAAGACTGAGGATTATAAACACTGAGGATAGGAATAGGGAAAAAGTTCAACTGCCTCTTGAATCCAGTTCTTTGGAATTCAGATCTTAAATTCTTATATTCTGTGTTCCTTATACCCTTCCTTGCCTGTGAGTAGAGAACTGTAGGTGGAGATGTTTCAGTGATATGGAGGGATAATAGTTCATAAATGAGGGAGAAGGGAAGCTTTTTACTGAGCCGGAATTGTGATAGATGCATAATTAATCCTCATAAAGTGTAGGGAGTATTCGTCTCACTTCACTGATGAGAAAACAGATTAAAAGTTAAGGTCATAGCTTGGTCAACTGGAATGTGCTAGAGCAGAGATTCATACCAGGGATTTCTTACTCTAAGGTCTATTACCTTTTCTCTACACCACAGTTTATTCAGAGCTTAAATCTAAAAGTCCATCCTAAAGAAAATCAATCCTAAATATTCATTGAAAGGACTGATGTTGAAGCTGAGACTCCAGTAGTTTGGCCACCTGATGCAAAGAACTGACTCATTTGAAAAGACCCTGATGCTGGGAAAGATTGAAGGCAGGAGGAGAAGGGGACAACAGAGGATGAGATGGTTGGATGGCATCACCAACTCAATGAACATGAGTTTTAAGTAAACTCTGGGAGTTGATGATGGACAGGGAGGCCTGGTGTGCTGCAGTCCATGGGGTCGCAAAGAGTCGGACACAATTGAGAGACTGAATTGAACTGAAAATCTAAAAGTGTAGGAAGAATATATATCATAAGAAAGATGAGTGATATTAATTATAAATTACATTGTAAATGCTTTAGTATGATTAATTTGACAGGTAGAGTAATTGAAGCAAGTGTAATCAAAATTTTTCCTTTGGAATTTGGAAAAATCATTTAAGGGGAAATAATTTCGAAGTTCTTAGTTATTAAGGTCTTAAATGATCAGGGTTGTAAGAGTTATTCTTCTCTCAAACTGGAGTATTAATTCTATAGGCAAGGATTATGTTCTTCAACTCTGTCTTTTCCCCTAGTGTGTCTATGATGATGGGGTATGTGCAGGCATAATCAATAAATGCTTGTTACTTGCCTTTTTAGTAACTGTGCTGTTCTTAGCAAAAATTTCCTTCGTTTATTTTTGCCCTGTTTTTGGCCAGATTCTGAGAATTAAAATTTCTTTCCATTAGGCACATTGTTGTTACTTTTTGAATCTTTTTGCCTGTGCTGCTCAGCTTGTAGGATCTTAGTTCTCCAACCAGGGATTGAACGCGGGGCCTTAGCAGTAAAAGCTCGGAGTCCTTAGCACTGGACCACCAGGGAATTCCCTAGACTTACTATTTTTAACTCAGGTAATTTTATCAGTTAATTTTTGCATATAAAAAGGATGCTGCTGCACACTTGGAACTATATCATTATGAAGACATGATTGAGAATACACCAGTGTGTATGTAGAGTTGTTCCTTTTTACAATTGAACTTAGAATTTTGTGCAGTTAATGTTTGTTTATGAATCTCCTTTTTTGCTTCTAGGATATTCGAAAATTCTTTGGGGTTATTCCAAGTGGAAAGAAACTTGTAAGTGAAACAGTAAAGAAGAATGAGAAAACAAAGTCTGCTGAAGAAAGTTTAAAAGCAAAGAAAGGAATAAAGGAAATCAAGGTCAGTTTTCTAGATGCAATGCTGAATTGTATAAAATAAACTCAGTTCTGAGATTTGATATATTGAGAGCCTTAAATAAATATAAATTTTGACTCATTTAGCAGAAAAAGAAGAAAAGTAATAAGGTCTTACTTATTTCTAGTTAATATATCTTACTGCATCCATAGTTTGGTATTTTCATTAACTGTTTAACAAAAACTTAGCTAAAGTTTCCTCATAAAGACATGAGCTCCAGTATTGGGCTTCTTGTGAAGGAAGGCTTTGGAGGAAAGCTTTATTCTTCTTCCTATCCTCCTTGGGCTTCAGAGAATTTAAGATATAATATCACTATGATATGCAGGCAGTGGCGCCAGTAGTGTATTTGAGTTAGTATTGTTCCTCTTTGTGTAAAATGTGAGAATTTTTCAACTCTACAGGTCAGTTGACTACCACCCCATCCTTTATGCCATAATTGGCATATGAATTATATCTATATATGTTAATACTTCACATTCAGTATAATAATTATTGCTCTAAACCAATGTTATTTTAAAGGAATTAACAGGAAAATTGGTTTGTGACTACATATGGTGATGGATGTTAACTAGACTTATGGTCATTTTGCAATATATATAAATATTGAATCATCATGTTGTACACCTGAAACTAATATGTTACATGTCAATTATATCTCAATAAAAACTTACTTTGTAAATAAGATAAAAATAATATTTTAAAAACATGTAAAATTACAAAGACATGTAATTAAACTGTCATTAAAATATCAATAAATTGTAATTTAAACACATACATTACCTTTTTTTATTTCCTAGGTGAGACTAAAATAAAAAGCTCAGTCTTCTGGTGTCAAAAAAAAAACCAAAAGAGGAAGATTGATCTTTTGTACTTAACCGTATATTGGCCACTTCTGGTGTTTTCATCTCTTATCAAAAATCTGAATTTCCATCTACTATGATTTTCTTTAATTAATATATTTATTTATTTAATTGTTTAAATGCACCCAGTCTTAGTTGCAGCACACAGGATCCTTTCAATCTTTGTTGGCAGCACGCAGAATCTTTAGTTGCGGCATGCAAATTCTTAGTTACTGCATGTAAAGTCTAGTTCTCTGAGCAAGGGTTGAACCCGGATCCCTTGCACTGGGAGCATAGAGTCTTAGCCGCTGGACCACCAGGGAAGTCCCTTATACCATTTTCTGTAAATCTGAAAAATTTTCTTAAGCATTTCTTGTAGAATAGGCCTATTGGCAGTGAATTCTATGTTTTTGTTTATCTAAAAATGTCTTTATTTCGTCTCCATTCTTGAAGGATAGTTTTGCTAGATATAGAATTTTGGATTGATAGTTTTTTGTTTCAGCCCTTTAAAGGTGTTCCATTCTTTTTTTTTTTGTCTCCATTTTTTTCTGGTGAGATGTTAGCAGTCATTTATATTGTTTTCTCTTGTATGTGTTGTATTATTTTCTTGTGCTGCTTTAAAAGATTTTATCTTTGAGTTTCAGCCTTGCCCATGGTGTACTTGGGTGTACTTTTCTTGTATTTATACTGTTTAGGATTTCTGAGCTTCTGAGTCTGTAAATTTATATCTTTTTTTGAATTTGGTAATTTTTTACCATTGTTTCTTCAAATATATTTCTGCTTCATTCTCTCCTCTTCTTATAGAAGAGTCCTTATATATACACACACACACATGCATATGCACACACACACACACATGCATATACGTTAGAATTTTGGAATTGCACTACAGATAGTTGAGGCTTGTTGTTGTTTAGCCTCTCAGTCATGTCTGACTCTGCGATCCCATGGACTGTAGCACATCAGGCTTCCCTGTCCTTCACACCTAGAGTTTGCTCAAACCCATGTCCATTGAGTTGGTGATGCCATCCACTCATCTCATCCTGTCAGTCAGTCAGTTTAGTTGCTCAGTCGTGTCTGACTCTTTGCAATCCCATCGACTGCAGCACTACAGGCCTCCCTGTCCATCATCAACTCCCGGAGTTTACTCAAACTCATGTCCATTGCGTCAGTGATGCCATCTGACCATCTCATCTTCTGTCGTCTCCTTCTCCTCCTGTGCTCAATCTTTCCCAGCATCAGGGTCCTTTCAGATGAGTCAGTTCTTCGCATCAGGTGGCCAAAGTATTGGAACTTCAGCTTCAGCATCAGTCCTTCCAATGAACACCCAGGACTGATCTCCTTTAGGATGGACTGATTGGATCGCCTTGCAGTCCAAGTGACTCTCAAGAGTCTTCTCCAACACCACAGTTCAAAAGCATCAACTCTTTGGTACTCAGCTTTCTTCACAGTCCAACTCTCACATCCATACATGACTACTGGAAAAACCATAGCCTTGACTAGGCGGACCTTTGTGGGCAAAGCAATGTCTCTGCCTTTTTTTTTTTTTTTTTTGTCTCTGCTTTTTAATATGCTGTCTAGGTTGGTCATAACTTTCCTTCCAAGGAGTAAGTGTCTTTTAATTTCATGGCTGCAGTCACCATCTGCAGTGATTTTAGAGCCCCCCAAAATAAAGTCAGCCACTGTTTCCACTGTTTGCCCATCTATTTCCCATGAAGTGATGGAACCGGATGCCATGATCTTAGTTTTCTGAATGTTGAGCTTTAAGCCAACGTTTTTACTCTCTTCTTTCACTTTCATCAAGAGGCTCTTTAGTTCTTCACTTTGTTCCATAAGGGTGGTGTCTATTTCTCCCGGCAATCTTGATTCCATCTTGTGCTTCATCCACTCCAGCATTTCTCATGATGTACTCTGCATCTCATCCTCTAATTGAGGCTTATTCATTATTACTCTTTTTCTTTTCTGTACTTCAGATTGGGTAATTTCTTTATTACTGTCTTCAGGTTTTTTGACTTTTCTGTCATCTCCAATTTGCCTTTGTAGTGAATATTTTATTTTAAATATTATATATTTCAATTCTAGAATTGCCTGCTAATTCTGACATCTGGCTTGGTCTCAGTTAAGTACCTTTTTATCTTGAGTCATGTATTAGTCACATTGGTCTACCATGAAATACCATAGACTGACTTAAACAACAGAAATTTACTTTCATACAGTTCTGGAAGCTAGAAATCTGTGATTGAGGTTCCAACCCATTCAGTTTCTGTTGAGAGTTCTCTTTCTGGCTTACAGACTGCTACCTTCTTGCTGGGCCTTCACACAGCCTTTTCTTGGTGTGAGCATGTGGGGAGAGAGGTTGAGAGAGTGGGTATGTACATGTGAGCTCTCTGGTGTCTTGTCTTGTAAGGACACTAACTTACCAGAATACCCTTATGACCTCATTTAACCTTAGTTATTTCTTTAGAGACTCTGTCTCCAAATATGGCCATATTGGAGGGTTAGAGACTCAACATATGAATTTTGAGAGGATACAAGCATTCATTCCATAATATTCTAACAATAGCTACCCCCAATTCATGTTCTTTTTGCATAAAAAAATCTCTTTTCATTCTAAAGACCCCACAGAGTCTTAACTCATTGCATTATCAGCTCTCTAAGGTCTGAAATCCAATCGTTCAGCTAAATATCATCTAAATCAGATATGGGTGAGACTTGAGGTATGGTGCATTCTGAGACAAAATTTTTCTCCAGCTTGAATGTCTGAAACCAGACAGTATGTGCTTCCAAGGTATAATAGTGGGACAGGCATAGAATACACATTCCCATTTCTAAAGGCAGAAATCAGAAGGAAGAAAGGGGTGACAGGTGTCAAGCAAGTCCAGAACCTGGCAAGGCAAATTCGAGTTGATCTTGTTTGATGAAAATAAATGGTACCTTGTGGCTCAGTCAAGTTGACAGATAAAATTAACCATCACAGGTCACATCTCCTATTTCTTTGTATGTATGGTTATTTTGGATTTACCTTGGATAGTGTAAATTTTACAGAGTAATAACTTTTAATTCTGTTATTTCCTCCATAAGATGTTGATTCTTTTAGTTTAGCAGGCAGTTAACTTGGCTGAACTCAAACTCCAAACTCTTGTACACCCTGTTATGAGCAGCATCTGAAATCTTTGTGTTTTTTTTTTTAAACGTTAGGTCGGCACTTGGGGTTGTTGCATGCACATGTAGTTCAGCAGACAGCCGCAGATTTGGGCCAAGATTATTGGCAGAATTTGGAGCTCCTCTTCTGTGGCTCTCTTCTGGGATATCCCTTTATCTTACTTTTGAGTTACTGTTGTCCTCTAGTTCGGTGGTATATTTGAATTACAATGGTTTATTAATCTCATTTTCTTCCAAGCTAGTTGATTGTTCTTATATTTTTGAAGTTTTGTTATAATGGATAGAAACATTTGTATCTTGTAATTGGTTATAGTCAGTTGTTTTTTTTTTTAACTATCTGCTTTCTTGATTCTTTTTGGGAAATTTTGAATGTGTGAGAAATGTGTTACCTACAAAACATTAGTAATACTTTATGTATATGTTACAAATGTGTATATCACTAAGAAATATAACCATTAATACCCTTTGCCTTGGTTTTATTTAGTTTCCACCAGGCATTGAGTCGTGGTAGGCCTACAACTCCTTAGCTTTTACTTCTGTCTCAGTTTTTCATTTTCAGGAAGCACTTGCCTTTTAATATCTGACATCCTTTTACTCTTTGTCATACTTAAGTTAGTGTTGAAAGTGGAACTGAATAATGATAATAATACAGCTTTTTCTACAATCCTCTCTTTCCCATCTGGTACAGTTATTATCTGGCTTATTCTCCCCCCTCCCAGTTTTACTGAGAAGTTAATTGACTTACATCACCTATACGTTTGAGGTGTACAGCATGATTGTTTGATATACACATATTATGAAATGATTATCACTGTGGGTTCAGTTAGCATCTGTCATCTCATATACGTACAATGAAAAGGAAGAAAAATTTTTTTCTTGTGTTAAGAACTCTTGGGATCTGCTCTCTTAAACTTTCCTATGTATCATATGGCAGTGTTACCTACAGTCATCATGTTGTACATCACTTTCCTAGGAATGTGTGTTATTTATCTTATAACTGGAAGTTTTTACCTTTTGACCACCTTCCTCCAGGTCCCCCCACCCCGCCTCTGGGAACCACAGATCTGATCTCTTTTTTTATGAGTTCATGCTTTTTTAATTTTTGCTTTTGCTTCTGTGTACAGTGAGATATACAGTATGTGTCTTTCTCTGATTTATTTCACTTAGTAAAATGCCTTCAAGGTCCCTCTGTGTTGTTAGAAATGGTAGGATACCCTTATTTTTTATGGCTGAGTAATATTCATATATTCACAACTTCTTTATCCATTCATCCATTGACTCACACTTGGGTTGTTTCTATGTCTTGGCTTTTGTGAGTAATGCTGCTATGAACATGTGGGTGCAGATAGCTTTTCAAGTGAGTGTTCTCTCTTCCTTTGGATATATTCTCAGAAGTGGAATTGCTAGTCTTATGGTAGTCGGTTCTGTTTTTAGTTTTTTGAAAAACCTCCACACTGTTTTTCCTAGTGGCTGCTCCAATTTGCAGTTCCACCAGCGATGCACAAGGGTTGCCTTTTATCCACATCCACACCGGCACTTGCGACCCCTCTGTCTTTTTGATGATGGGTCTGGCCTGGTCTTTAGGATTTCTGAGGTGGTACTCCAGTGGTGAAGAACCCGTGTGCCAGTGCAGTAGACCTGAGAGGTGCACGTTCGATCTCTGGGTCGGGAAGATCCCCTGGAGAAGGAAATGGCAACCCACTCCAGTATTCTTGCCTGGGAAATCCACAGGGACAGAGGGGTCTGGCAGGCTACAGTCCATAAGGCCGCAAAGAGTCGGACATGACTGAAGTGACTTAGCATGCACGCACACACTGGCCTATTCTTTAGCCTGATGAGGGCATTACTGGCGTTTGGGGTGAGATCATTCATTGTTGTGGAGGACCGTCCTGTGCATTGTAGAATGTTTAGTAGCCTCTCTTATCTACCCATTTTATACCCGTAACACCCCCACCCCAGTATGACAAGTGAAAATGTTTCCTGTAGGGGCAGGGTTTCTCTGGTTGTGAACTATTGAACTCAAATCTAATGAGGAAAAAATAGCTAAGTTATATAGGCTTCCTTGCATTCTAACTATACTGTGATGTTTATAGGTAAATAGTTCTTGTAAAGAAGATGAATTGAAGCCGAAGCAGTCAAACAAGAAAAAGAGGATCATCTATGATTCAGGTAATACTTCTTTTCAGGAGTTTTCAAGTTTAAAAATTTTCATTTTGTATCTGTTAGAGCTGATGTTCTCTATGATGTTAATAGGTGCTGTGAAAAGAGGGCTCTGTGTTCAAGTAAAGTTGAAAACAACTTTTATTATACTACAGAATTTATCAGAGGTGAAACATGTTAATAGAGTTTTGTTCTGTGGAGATTTGGTATATTTGGCGTGTCTGAAACTCACTTTGAATATGCTAAAGTATTTATATTAACTTCTCTTTCAGCTGAGGTTCTTGGAAACTGAATTTGAAAAAGAGTGCCAAAAAATGTTGCTTTACAAACAAAGATCTAAAACTTCATTTTTGTCCTTTTGATTTGGTCCTTTTTTGTTGCAGTTAAAAGGGAACAAACACACTTTAAAAACTTTGACTATAAGATTGACTTGAAAAATATGAGGGTTGGGGTTCTGACACCCCTTTCAATTGAAAATCTACATAGAACTTTTGATTCCCCCCAAACTTAAATACTAATTGTCTACTCTTGATTAGTAACCTTGCCAATACCATAAACTGTCAATTAACACATATTTTGTATGTTATATGTATTTTATACTGTATTCTTGCAATAAAGTAAGCTAAAGAAAAAATGTTATTAAGGGAATGTTAAGAAAAATACAGTACTGTAATTATTGATACTATAAGTTTATGTCATCTGTTTACAAGATGAATCTCAGTATCTACATCAATATTGTCTAATATAATAAAAAATACTGTATATGTTATATATGTTATATAACATATGTGTTATACCTATTACTAACTCTATTATAATACAGATGTAGATGTTATATGTATTACTAACTCCTGACATCAGAAATCAAAAGATGATGTGAAAAGGAAATTTGTACTTACAGGTATGACAATTCATGCGTTGATAATGAAGAAGCAGCAGTATGATTGTTTTATGATAGCCCCATGTAATTGATAGGATTGCTTCATGATAGCCTAGCCTATGCACTAATGAATCTGTTAACAAAATTTTGGCATACGGTATGACTGTAACACTGTCATATTCATAATACAGTATTGGAAACATTGTTACATTAAAAAACCCACTTACCTGTTATGATAAATAGGCTCTTATGCAGTTTACCCAGTTACAGAGAGGCATACTTTACAGTAGTGTAATTCTTTGAAAGCAATGTTATAAAACAGAAAACTAACACAGATTAATTTTATATTAAAGATCACCTTATACCTATGTAAGTATAGACTAGTATCTACATATATTTCCTGCATTCATGACATAGCTTTTTCTTAATTTTTTTTTTTTTTTAGTATTTCTAAGCATGTGGTTTGTCTTTTTTTTTCAAATTGTTGCAAATCTCCAAAGTTTTTTTCAGCATATTTATTTGAAAAAAAATCTGTGTCAGAGAAGGAAGTGGCAACCCACTCCAGTATTCTTGCCTGGAAAAGTCCATGGACGGAGGAGCCTGGCGGGCTCCAGTCCATGGTTTACATGACTGAGCATGTGTGCCCGAGGGTGGAGGGAGATGGGTTGGTAGCAATAAAGTGGTAGAACTAAAGAAAATAGAAAGAAAAAAATCTGTGTACAAGTGGACATGTGCAATTCAAACCCATATTCAAGGGTCAACTGTATTTTTAAGATAGGGAACATTTTTATGCATGCCTTTTATGGTATGCTAAAATAATGGTAAGAGTTTCAGATTTTGATTTTTTTGGAGATCTATCCAGTATGAATTCTTAAAATTAAAATTAAGAATGTAACCTAAGGAAGCATTTATAGGTTATCAGGATTTTGACAGTGATAGCAAAGGTTCTAAAAGTACTTGAATGATTATTGTGAGTCTTCTACTGCTGTATATAATAAAGAATTTGAAATAAGTACATATCCCTATTCCCTATAAGTTTCCATCTTTTGGGAAAGTGGAAATATAATTGATACATTTTAGAACTGTATGAGACAGGATTTATAAATTCGTGGTGAGAGGAAGAGGAAGGACACTGAAATTTCTGAAACTCCTATTTTGTACCAGAGATACACTAGGTATTTATACTTTGTCTTGATCTGTATTTAAGTACTCTGGGTGATTAGACTGTGGTAGACAGAGTAATGGCCCCTAGAGATGCTCACACCCTAGTTACTAGAACCTGTGAATATGTTCGGCTGCATGGCAAAAGAGGTGGCATTAAAATTATAGGTGACATTGAGGTTGATAATCAGACGACCTTCGTGTGGCGAGATTATCTGGATGGGCCCAGTGGAGTCACAAAGAAGAGGAGGTTTAGAAATTGACTGTGGAAGGAGGTCAGAAAACTGGAGAGATGGCAATGTGAAGGACTTGGCCTAATGCTGCAGTCTTTGAAGATGGAGGAAGGGAGGGGCCATGAGCTAAGGAATGCTTGCAAGTCACTAGAAACTGGAAAAGGCGAGGAATTGGATTCCTCCGTATAGTATCCAGAAAGGATCACAGCAATCCTGATGCTTGATTTTAGTCCAGAGACCCAAGTTGGATTTCTAACCTCCTGAATTGGGAATAATACATTTGTATTGTTTTAAGCGAGTAAGTTTATGTTAATTTATTACTGCAGCAATAGAAAGGCTTAACCACTGGGTAGTGATAATCTATGAGAATTTAAAAAAGAGATTTGTTTGGAAAAGAATCTTGAGGAATTGATTAATAATAATCACTTTAAGGTAATTCCCTGGTAGTCTAGTGGTTAGGACTTGGTGCTTTCACTGCTGTGGGCTTGGGTTCGATCCCTGGTTGAGCTAAGATCCCACAGGCTGTGTTTCATGGCAAAATAAATAAATAAATAAATAAACCCACTTTAAAAAGCAAACTATATGGGGGTAGGGTGGGAGGGAGGTCCAAGAGGATGTATGAATATGGCTGATTCACTTGTGTTAGCAGAAACTAACACATGTTATAAAGCAATAATAAATTCCAATAAAAAACTTAAAAATAAAAGCACACTATATTAATACTATTTCTTTTCAAAGTTTTTCTTTTCCTCTTGTATTCAGATTCAGAATCAGAGGAAACAGTACAGGTAAAAAACGCCAAAAAGCGACCAGAAAAATCGCCACTGTCTTCTAAACCTGCCAAAACCCGACAGCAGGATCCTGTCACGTACATTTCAGAAACAGGTAAGGGAACTAAGTATGTTTGTTTTAGAGGGAAGTGCACTGTGCACTGTGTTCTTGAGCTTGTCTTGGTATCTGCATGTATCTCCTTCGCTTTGAACTGAACTTCAGTTGCCTTTTTCTCTGTGTAGAATTGTACTTAGGGAAAGGCTGTAATTATCTTTGGCGTTTCCTGTGAGTTGAGGGCCAATAACAGGGTAGTTGTTTCTTGGAATTTTTTTTTTAATTGCTCCATATCAAACCATATATGTTGATACTATGTCTTGAATCATATATTAAACTATTATTGGGTTGTTTAAAACTTTTTTTTTTTTTTTTTTACCTTTTAAGGTCGCAGCAATCTTAAGTATATAATGACTGCAAATTTGTGCCTTCTAATCTGTAATCTTGTGACTTGAATTACTCATATTCTCTGGTGACCCTAAAGATTTAATAGTGGCTTTAAAAATATGCTTGTTTTTGTGTTTATATTTATTTGATGTTTTGAGTTGTCTCAAAACAAGACATTTATAAATGTACACTAATCTTAAGATGTCATAGTATAAATAATTGTCATCGTATATAAATAATTGCAGTATTCTTTTATAGTGAGAGACTCTGAATTACATTGTCATCTTAAGGAAAAAAAAATTAGGATGGATTTGTTATAAAGTCATTTTGATTTGAGCATTGTTAACTCCTAGAGGAGACTGTCTTCAAATTCACAGAGCCTGTTGAATCAGTTCCTGATAAAAATGCTTGCGGGCCATGAGAGCATCTGATACACCTCATTGGTTTGTTCATCTTGAGGTAAACCTCTGGCAGCATTGTTTTTAGCACTCAGCTACTTGTGTTACCAGTGAAGTGAATACACCTGGTTTGAAGAGATAGGGTAAAAGCCACATAATTATTTTGGGACAGCATGTTACAACTTATATTCAACAGGCTTTTATTGATTGTTTTTTCCATCCTGGTTACTAGGTGCTGGGGATATAAAGATAGGACTAAAGACTCCTAAGTACTGTAGGAATTGCCTGAGGTTGCAGTATTTACTAGTTAGGGAGACAGCTTAATGGAGAGGGTAAGATTTGGTCTAATCCTTGAAGGATGAGCAGGTGATGGAGGGAAAGAATATGTCTGGTTGTTTAATCTCTCAGTTGTGTCTGACTTTTGCGACCCAGTGGACTGTAGCCTGTCATGCTCCTCTGTCCATGGGATTTCCCAGGTAAGAATACTGGAGTGGATTGCCATTCTCTTCTCCAGGGGAATCTTCCTGACCCAGGGGTCAAACCCATGTCTCCTGCATTGGCAGGCAGATTCTTTACCCCTGAGCCACCAGGCAAGCCCGTCTGGCTAATGGGATGGAATTATTTAAGGCACAGCATCCAGCGCAAGGCTTGATATGTTTGTAGGACCCCAAAGAGATTGCTTCCCCACATGATGAGTAATAATGAGTGGTATATGAGGCCAGTTTAGGGAAGACCTTGAAAACTAGAATTTAGTTTAACGTAGCAGGGAAAATGCAAAAATAATAATTGAGGAGGCTGAGACTCTTACGGTAATCTATGAGTGAAGTAATAAGTATTTTAAAAAGGTAGCAATGGTAAGGGACTGATGTATAAACATTTGAGAGATGAGTTATAGATTAGGTTTTTGGATTACCTGTGGTTCAGCCATGCTGTCTATGATTTACTATTAGGATAATTGGAAAGTTGATGTTGTTATCCTGCTTATGTTTAATTTTTTTTTAATTTTCTATCATCAGCTTTATTGAGATAGAATTCACATACCCTACAATGCACCTTTCATGTTTTAGTGTTACTGGAATTTTATTACATGTTTGAGCTGGTACTTGAGAGCGTGAAGGTACCCATGGTAGATAAATTGGTCAGTAAGTAGGGAATGAAACAGGAAAGACATCCTTGTATTACAGAAAGAAGCTGAAAGAAGCCCTGCCTGGGGGGATACATCCTTGGTTCCCATCTAACTCTAAAGGGCTAAAGGTCAGTGACTGCCTCCCTTTCTGTAAAGCAGAAACTCTCATTGAATAGGACCGTTGGGACAACCTAACAGGGTGATGCACATGAAAGGGCCAGACCCAGTGCCTGAAACATAAATAGCCAGCTGTCAAAAGGGAAAAATAAAAACAAAAGAAGCCCACAGGTAAGCTTTGCAGGCTCTCTGAAACATTTGCATATTTGATAAAGTTGTTCAAATACCAAAGGGAAAATCTTAAGTGGTATGAGCATATTTTCTATAACATTTTTTGTAAGCTGAGATGTTTCTTCATTATGGTTTGTGGCAGGTTGACTTTTGAACCTGTTTTGTTGCTAAATATCTGCTCAGGCGCGTTGTGCAAATGCAGTCTTCCATTAAAGGGCCCCCTCAACATCTGGCCACCTTTGTCAAGTTTTAAATATGTGGGAAGGATACTAAAACCAGTAAGGTGATAGGTTTATTATGTAACTGAAGGTGGTGTGATCAGGCTTTCCAGTGACACCCTGAAAACGTCAAAGTTAGTGGGCAGACAGCGATGGCCTTCAACCCGGGGATCAAGGCTATCCTTATCTTGTGATTTTTAGGTACACAGAAAGGTCAGACAATTTAAGCTCTGGTCACAGATTTTCTTTAACATGGGACTGTTTATTTCACACCAGGTATTTTTGAATGTTATTTTCTGAGGAGATAACTGACATCTTATCTGAAAATTTTACGACCATTAGACAGTTTTTATGTCATTCTGACAAGGGTATGTGCCTGTGAAAGTGAATGTTGTCTCCTGGTTTTATCAAAGAATCTTGGGGTACAATGTATCCATCTAATATGATGCTATTATATAGTTTTCTGCTTTTTCTTAGAGTTGAGATATAGGAAAGAAGCTAACTTTTTTTTTTTGCCTGTTTTACCTTCTCATACCTTTTTATACCTTTGAATGATAGGTGAATAGGAGAAAGATAAGCCCTTTTCCTTCCCTTCATAAAAGAGAATGAGACTGTTAAAAAGAAGTCTGCAATAAAATTAGCATAATGAGATCAGAAATGAAATGAGGTTGTGAAACAGAAAAGTGCAACTTGAAATAAACTTGAAATTTCTTGACCACAAAATAATCTTTTTATTCATTTTTAAAGCTAAATCTACAATTTTTCAATGATGATTATGAATAAATATTCATGTTAGAAATATAAACATTTATCATAAATTTAAATAAAATATGTGTGGTAATAGTTTACAAATAAAAATTCTAACTTAAAATTGTTTTTTTTATTTTATTCTTTTTGGAGTTTGGAGCTTGTGAAGAAGAATTATATAACTCAGTGTTAGTAACCTATTAATTCCTAAAGAAATGATTTTGCTTTACTATTCCATATTTTATCTTTTATAAATCAACTTTTTTTTTCTTACAGTGTAGCATGTATAGTGATTAAGAGCATGAGCTCTTGAGTTAAACCTCCTACTGCCTGGGTTAAACCTTCATTTACCTTCCCTACGTCCTAATTTCCTTGTTTGTAAAATGAGGGTATTACTAGTGCCAGCATCAGAGGCTTTGTGCTTGATCAAATGAGATAATGCTTGAGAAGCACTTAAAGTAGGGTCTGGTACATATGAAATGTTTAGTATTAACCATTATTCTCATATTTTGACTTGTTTACCTACATCTGCGTTTAAAGATTATGCTAAAGACATTTGCTTTTGCTTAGGTATTTAGGGCTTCTTTTGATTATATAACTGTGCTTTAGAAATTTAGAAATTGTATTTGACTCACTTATGTTATAAATGCTCTTCAACCAATATAGGAGCTGCTACATGTGGCTGTGGGGCAGCTGAAATGTGATTAGCCCAAATGGGAAGGTTGGTATGTGTGAAGTATAGATTTCAAAGACTTTAAAAAAAGATAAATTATCTTATTAATAATTTTTTAACATCTATTACATGTTGAAATCATCTGAATATTTTTGGATAGATGAAATATATTATTAATTTCATCTGTTCCTTTCTACTTTTTATTTATTCTTTCTACTTTTTAAAATGTGGGTCACATTTTATTTCTGTTGCATAGTGCTTCATAAACAAGGAGAAATATATTTAGGAAATAACATTACTTTAGAAAATAACCTACTTAACCTACTTCAGGTGCTTTTGTTTATACTATTATATGAGTCTTTAGGCTATATTATTATACAGGTCTTTAGGCTTATCATTTAGCTCCATGACATACTTTTCATCATCACTTTGTTTGACTAAACTTATCTTCTATTATTCACTGATTTTTAAAGTACTTTAACTACATTAGTTTCCCAGATTACAGGAAAGGGAAAAAATTCTTTATATTATACATATCTGCATAGCAACTGTTGACTGTAGTGGGATGTTTTTGAAGGTTGGTAAAAATCCAAAGTACTGGGTAAATATATTTACTTTTAGCTGTTTAATGAAGTGAGAGACCTTGAGTTTTGTTTGGCAAAAGGTGACCTTTTATTATGTAGTTTCATCAGGAGCTGTGGGTGTTTGTTTGAAAATAGGGTTTTCCCTGTCTTGAGAATTGTTTATGACTGATAATTTAAAAAAAAATAAATTTTTTAATTGAAGTATAGTTGGTTTGCAATGTTGTATTAGTTATAGGTGTACTGCGAAGTGAATCAGTCATGCATATGCATATGTCTACTCTTTTCTAGATTCTTCTGCCATATAGGCTATTAGAGAGTATTGAGTAGGGTTCCTTGTGCTGTGCGATAGGTCCTTGTTTGTTGTCTGTTTTCTATATAGCTGTGTGTATATGTCAGTGCCAGTCTTCCAGTTTATCCCCCCTTCCTCAGTGACCACGAGTTTGTTTTCTCTATCTGTGACTCTTCCTGTTTTGTAAATAAGTTCTTTTTTGGGGGGGGGTTCCACATATATGCAATATCATGATATTTGTTTTTCTCTGTCTGACATACTTCATTCAGTGTGACAGTTTCTAGGTCTACCCATGTTGCCGCAAGTGGCATTATTTCATTCTTTTTCCTGACCGAGTAATATTCCATTGT